GATGGGTGTTTCGGAGGCAGTGAGATTGGCATGGGGTAGAGCACGCTTTAGGGCTGTTGTACATAGGGTTGCTATGAGTCGCAAACGACTCGATGGCACATAACAACGTTAGTACAGCACTTTTCCTGTCAATCTCCTTTACTGGTATAGCTTATGGGATGTTGTAATGTTGAAAGCTGTGTCACAACTAGTACTTTCAAGTACCAGAAAGTTCAGCCACGATGGACAGGTTGCAACAGAGCATTTAGATTAAAACAGAATAAGCAGGAGGATTAGCCATCCACTTCTTAAACAGTGGGCTTCGAAAACCTTCTAAACAGAGGAATGTGGGTAGTTGCAGTATTAGTGCCAGATACCAGATAGGACGTCACTAAAAATTGAGTAGAAAAGACTGTAAGTACTCTTTAATAATTGGAACATGTAATGTATGGGGTATTGGTGTAGTAAAACTGGAAGTTATGAAGAATGAAATGAAACTCATGAAATTTGACATTCTCAGCATCTGTGAACTGAAATGTAGTTGCCTAAGCAACTCTGAATCATACTATGATTCAGATATGATCTGCTATGCTGGGAATGAAAAACTGAAGAATATTAATATTGCTTTTGTAGTTAAAAAGGCAATTTCAAGATCCATCCTCAAGTTCAATGCTGTGAGTGACAGGATCCTCACACTCTGTCTGTCTCTGTCTATCTCTCTGTATATATACACCACCACGACCCCCCCCCCCCACTGGGAAGACCTGTTAATACAACTGTTATTCAAATAAGTAAAGCCAACAGGGAAGAGATTGAGGGTTTTTACCAACCGTTTCAGTTTGAAATTGACCAAACACACAATCAGTATATTGTTGTTGTTATGTGCCTTTGAGTTGCCTGCGACTCATAGCAACCCTATGCACAACAGCCCTAAACCCTGTTCTATACTATGTCATTCTTACCATCTCTGACACCCCTATCTCCATTACCCTAGTCACTGAATCAATCCACCTTATAGAGGGTCCTCCTCTCCTGCACTGTCCATTCACCCTCCCAAGCATGATGTTCTTCTCCAAGGACTGTTTCCTCCTTGCAACATGTCCAAAGTATGTCAGGCAAAGCTTCAAAATCCTTGCCTCCAAGGGCTAGAAATCGTTGGGGCACATACACACAATTGTAATCAGTATTCATTAGTAATTATCGGTGACTTAAATGTGAAAGGTGGAAACTGAGGAAGGTATAGGAATTGGAAAGCATGGACTTGATGATAGAAATGAGGCTGGAGATTGAGTGATCAAATTTTGTTCACTTGATCTATGCACAGTTTCTAAAAAAACGCAAAAGGCAGCTTTATACTTTACACCTGATGGATTGCTCAGGAATCAGATTGACTATTTTTGTGGAAAGAACCATTGCTGAAGTACAATAATATCGGCTGTCAAAACAATAGTGGAGCATCAATCACTCATGTTTAAGTTTCAGTTGGAGCTGAAGAAAATGAAAACTAGTCTATAGTAACCAAAATAAGATCTTGAGTTTATCCCAGTTCAATTTAAAAAACGTCTCAAGAACAGATTTGAGACATTGAACACC